GCCAGGTCGGGCCAGGAAGTTTTGCAGTGGATTGTCGCTTTCCGAAGGCGGAGCGACAGTTTGGGCCTGCGAAAGTGGTCCATCCCATGCTGGGAACCTGCTGCACCCAAGCTGGTGTACTCATGGCACGATGCCCAGTTGGACAATGTTGGACATAGAGCGATGCCGTCTGATTGGCCCATCAGCGCCAGCCAGGGCCAGTGCTTCTTCCTGTCTTTTGCACTTTCTGGCGGTTGAGTGGTTTTCTGGATGATCTGGACAACTTTGAAGGGCTTGCTCAAGGCTGGCAGAGGAAGAGAGCTTGCAAGCGTGTGCTTAGTCCTGGCTAGAAAACTGTGGCACACCTGGTTGGTTTGATTTGGTTGATGGTTGTTTGGCAGGTTTGCAGGCATTGTTTTGTTTGATATGTGGATCTCAGGCAAGGTGTGTCTTGGGTTGGTTTAGCGTTTAATGGTTTGCTTTTGCCATAGTAGGTATTTTCAGGATGGCCCGCGGGTGCTTGCCAGATTCTCTTACTTTGGCCGGTTGACGATGTTGTGGGCTCACGCTTGCTTGAGGAGTCGAATCAGGCTAGAGTTGCAGATGGGATAGGATACAAAGCCCTCCAACCAGATGGTGTGACAAGCGCCGGATGGAGCACGCAACCGTGCCGGATTCAATCCCCAGATGGCACATAGACCCATGCGAGATGCTACTGCGGTGGGCACAAGCATGGGCAGAAATAACAAATGACTGGCAGATCCTGGCAGGCGCCAAGTCGCCTTGCATTGGGATGTTTGCCGCAGATTGAAGCCCAACTAGGACGGCTCGGAGAGAGCCCGCCATGCCAGGATCAGCAGTCAGTTCGGGAGCTCAGAGTTCACGGCTTGCACCAGTCGTTGTGAAAGGGCCAGGGCTATTGTTGACCAAGGCCCAATGCAAACACCCGGTCACCTGCTTCGACTGCCTGATCAATAATTCCCGCAATGTGAGGGAGAGAGGCGTTTTGGAATGCCAAAGGGTATTGCTTTCATTGTGTCCTTCGGGCATTAACTCTTTGCCCACAGCTTCGGGCTGTCGTCCGGGGCTGGCAGAACCTCCCCACAAAGTTGCTTTGCAATGGATCCTTTCCTTCAGGGTGGATAAGCCACCAGGATGCAGCTAGAGCTAGAGAGAAGGGTGAATTGCAGTGCCATCCGCTTTTGCCGCACAGCACTCGCTTTTCTGCAAAATGTCCGGGTTTGGCTGGACAGACAAGCTGAAGCCCAGATACTAATTGCTTCGTATAGCTTCAGGGTCAAACGAGGAGCGTGAAAAAGAACACGTGTTTGAATTGAGACCTCGGGGAGGGCCTGCCTCTCGAGTAGCGTGTCCAAAAAGATGCCAGCTCGTGATTCGCGAACATACCATAGTCCAAGGTTCTCTGCCTTCGGTTTCCGTGACGAGTGGTTGGCAGACGCAGCATCCTCAGAGCGCGTTCAGCTTGTCACTCAGCTGAGTGAAGAACACATGAATATAGTTCAGTATGCCGTGGTTCGGGGCTCAGGGTGTACAATTGACTTTTGTATGTGAGCCTAGAGCTGTCCTGAATGGCGGAGCCCCACCTTACAAGTTCGTTTGGCCAATGCGTCATCCATGCGCCCGGGCCCAGGCCATCTTTTACATGGACCGCTTAGCGGTGAACATGCACAGAAGCCATGGGCCGAGAAATTTGGGAGATATTGGACAGGAGCAGGAAACCAAGCCCCCTCAGAATGGGTCAAGTTGTGGTACCTTGCTGTTTCAGTGCAATGTCTTTTGCTAATGGAGTGACCTGTTGGTCTTCGGATTGCCCGAGCCAGTGACAACCAGTTAGCACCTCCATCCGATTTTCATAGAGCGGTCTCTACAGGCACCTGTCCTTTTTAAGGGTGCCTGTTGCCAAGTTCCATCCGTGTAGTTGGTTTGATGGGATATTGCATGGGCGCTTGCAAAAAGTGCTCACTGAGTAAGGCCCAAATTTTATGCCGCTGGGCCAAGTGCAGGCCTCAGATGCAGGGTTGCTAGGATCCCTTTCCAAACGGATGACCCCCTCCGATGGACCACCCTTCGCCTTCAACTCCCAGGGGCCGTTGTTTGTCATGTTCTTTCAGGGATGCGTTCAGCGCTCCAGCGGGTGGATCATAGACATAGATATGAATATATATATATATATATATATGCCCTAATATTGTTGTTTTGGGCATACTGACGCGGGCGGGACCTCACTCGGCACGCTGCATGGGTTAGGTGGACAGCCCTGAGCAGCAAGCGGCGGCAGAGGCAGGCAGTCAAAAGACGCCCCTCACAACCCGGATTAGCAAATATTGGCCTTGACCATCTGTTGTTTTTCGTGCGGAACAAAGCTTCTTTCTGAGGCTTAAACAAGTGTCTTGAGTTGGCTCCAGCTGGCAGATGTGTCATATTTGCGGCACCTGGGTGAGTTGAAGATGTTCGGCTGGTTATACGGCCAATGGATGGCTCATTCGGGATGGCCACCTGGGCTCGGAATAGAGCTTGGGTGACGCATTTGGGCGTGAAGCATGGGACTTTGAAAACTGTGCCTTTCCCCTTGGTTTCCCTTGCAAACCACCTCCAAAAGAGCGGATAAAAATCAAAACAAAAGCAGACACACAGACACAAGCCTTTGCACCTTCCAGGTTATGGGGCACCAGGATCTTTGGTTGGCCTCCGTGATGATTGCCCTGAAGATGCCTGGATGCCCAGAGTGCAGCCCACTTTGAGGCAAAAACCTCAGATTTTATATTTGGCACTAAGAAAAACAAACACACATCTCTATATATAATATTTGTTGGTTGGGGGCGGGGTTGGTCGTGTCATGCCATTTGGTGCACCCTGGGTTGGGCCGCCCGCGTGGGGCAATCGCGGCGGAAAGTCGCAGCGGCACCGAAGTGATGCAGTGATGCTATTAATTTGCCAAACCTTCGCGGCACTTTATTGGTAGCTACATCCGGATCCCGATTCACAAACAGAAGCATTGCCATATCCCTCTACGAGTATTTGCACTGGTCATGACATGTTTCCAGGTCCGAAGCTGAATCTGAGCTGGCACGGAGCCCGGAATGGGCACTTCAGATCATGCCGTGCTTTGACTGCTACTGTGCAGGAAACGTGGTGTTTGTTTGGTGTGGACAGCCCTGCAATGTCGAAATCATGGCAATTGAATCCATAAGGGATATTGGTGCTTTGAAAAACCTGCCGCAAGGCTTCCTAGCGCAACCAAGTCTTTCTGGGGATATGAACTTGGGCCATGATAGCGTGGATTGCTCAGGCTACCCAACCTCGATAGCTGACTTCTTGTAGCTTCAGAGCTACTCGGTTGGGGGATGGTGAGTAACTACATGGGCCCAATGGCTGCCGCTGCGCACCGCCCCCGAAGAGGCATTCCTTTCTTTGCATGGTTGCTGATTCGGGCTGTGTCCTTTGCTGGGTTAGTCGACGGCGGCCATGTGAGAACTAGGACCATGGCTCGACCATGGCCATGTGATCATTGAGCGGAAGGTGCTGCGCAAAAACCCATGCCAACCAAGCCTTTCCGAGGATAGCAGCATCCAAGATCTTGTAGTGCCATTGGCGTGGGGCCTCAGCACAAGGCCTGAAAAGCATTGAAATTTGGGTTATGACCAGACGAGCTCAGACAGCACGGGTTGCAGCAGAACCAAAAAACTCAACAACACAATTCAGCCAAACACACAATAACAACACAAACTCCAATAATAGCACAAATAAACCACTGAAAGAAGCACCAGGGACGACTCAAAAAAACAAAGCAAAGCACAACTCCGCCTTCAACTCAGAAAAATAACTCAGACAAACCTAAGCCTTGAACTCGACCCCCGCACTTGAGTTTGAGGCTGAGTCTGAAGCTGAGTCTTTTCTGAGCTTTTTCTGAGTTATTGCTGAGTTTGTTTGAGTTTTGTTGAGTTTGTCCGAGTTTGGTTGGGTTGTGTTGTGTCATCTTGGGAGAAAACTGCAGATTTCCTCCCAAACCAACTCCCTCAACAAAACTTAAAAAAAAAAAAACTAATAGAAACTCAGAAAGAACTCAAAAGCCAACACAGAAGAAGCTCAGCAAAAAACACTGCTCCAGACTCAGACTCAAGCTCAAGTTGGGGGATCGAGTTCAAGGCTGAGTTTTTTGTCTGAGCTTGTTCTGAGTTTTTCCTGAGTCTTCCAAGCTTAGGAGTTTCCAGATCGAGTTTTTTGGATTGAGGATGTTTTTTTGTTTTGTGTGTGTGTGTGTTTCAGTTGTTTGAGTTGTTTGAGTTGTTTGAGTTGTTTGAGTTGTTTGCAAGTTCCTGGATTTGTGGCCTCTGTGGGCGAGATCAGCTCATGACAATTGAGTGTGCCTCAGAACTCGGAGCTTCTTGAATGGCCGCACTTCCTCTGGCGGCTTGCGGTTGTGCTTTTCTCCTGGCCAACCGCCCCAACGCTTGAACGGATGGGTACACCTTTGCTCATTGGCAATAGGCTATGCTGGGTTCCGTGTGTAGCTTTGAGCGCTCTTTCTTGGAGAGGTCAAGTTCGGGGGGGTCACCTTGTGCCCTCAACCCTTGACAACGCACCAGGATGGCTGTTTGACAAGCACGTGTTTGACATAAAGCCCTTCCAGAACAGCTTGGGCTCCGAAGTGCCTGCAGACCCGACTTGGCGGGTGACGAGCATCAACAGTTGACACTTTCAATCTTGCCCTTTTGCTTTCTGCCCTTGCCGCTGAAGCACTGGCGTTTTGAAGGCTAAGTCAACTCCCAGGGAATGCTAGCGCCACAGACGCCCTACCAGCAGGATACCTATTTGCAGATCAAATGTATGTATTTCAAATTGGCCTACTCGCCAGTGCGTCTTTCCTACGGGCGATGAGCGTTTGGGCGGCTCCTTTAGACACACTAGGCCCCAAAGAATTCTGGGCCAAGTCATCGGGAAGTCTAGCTGCAGACCCAAGCCAGCCCGCAGCGCACGGATGCCAACTGGGCGAAACCGACGACGCCCTCCATTGGCTTGGTCACTTAGTGCATCCGGCGCCAGCGGTGCACTCAGGTCCCTTTTGAAGCCAACGGCGCCAAGTGCAATCGCACAAGGCATGGCCTGAAGCGGCAAAGGGGCGACGCCTGAAGGGGGAGGGGGGAGATATTGCACCAAGAATGAGCCGCAGTTTCTCTGAAATGAAAGCGACATCACCCCTGGATCGAAGGCAGGGTAAGAATTAAAAGCAGCCATGCAACTCCTCAAAACAGGTGTTGTTTCCTTAAAACAATTTCGGGGAAGAGACCGTAGGTGAACAGATCGTAAGGCCCCCCAGAAAAAAGAAGAAGAAGAAAAACGACAGAAACCGACAGAAACAATGTTGATCATGTTTGATATTGTCATGGATTTGTATGCATTGTGCGAAGGCAAGCAGCTGGAGCAGCTGCCGGCCCGCATTTTACAACAGCAGTTGTTGGACAAGTTGGTTACTCTTTGGCTGGCTGCCTATCTGGAGCGCGAGTCTTGATGGAGAAAATGTAGTGTGCGTATTGTATAGTTGCTTAAGGCGGTCCTTGATATAATTATTCTTTTTTTTTTGGGGGGATTAGAACGCCTTTCACGGAGCTTCAGCTCAACTGTGAGCGAGTCGGCCATAGCCTTTTGACACCTAGAGGCCTCGGAGCGAGTCCAATTACGAGCAGAGCCGGGGGGCGGAAGTTTCTACAACAAACGGGACTTACAGAATTGCACTGTTGCTGGTTTCAGCTCCCACAACATCCCAGCCGCACTTCTTTTCAAGCAAATGCTGCAGCCGCCTTGCGGCCTGCAACGGCACGCGTTCGGAAAGAAGACAGCTTCTCTTGCCTCTCCAGTCTTTTGCAACGAATCCAGGCTTGCACACTGCAAACTGCGCAGCTCTTGCTCGTGCTCGGCTAAGTAAGCCATGAGGCCTGCAAACTGATCGCTTTCCATGGCTTTCCGCGCCTGAACCGGCAACGGAACCGCGAGGCGACGACGTTTGCAGAGGAAAAGTGCAGTGTTCTGCATGCTCTCCCGTGTGGTTGTCTATATGCTTCGGCGTGTCTGTCCTGCAGGAAATCTTACTCGACCTCGCGAAAGTGTTGCGCCTGCCACGAAATCTGTACCTGACCTGCGCCTGCCACGCAAAACTGACCTTGACCTTGCGAAAGTATCGCGCCCGCCACAATCTGCACCTAGCCTTGCGAAAGTGCTGCGCCTGCCACGAAATCTGTACTTGACCTTGCGAAAGTATTGAAAGCGCCACGAAATCTGTACCTGGCCTCGCGAAAGTGCTGTGCCTGCCATGAACTCTGTACCTGACCTTGCGAAAGTATTGCGCCCACCACGAAATCTTACTTGACCTTGCGAAAGCGTTAGGCCTGCCACGAAATCTGTACCTGACCTTGCGAAAGTGCGGCGCCGGCCACGTAATCTGCGTGCGGCACCTTGCACATCCGCGCCAATGAGATTTGCAATGCGTCCGTGCCAGCATTGCGAGAATCCACCGCCTGCCACGAAATTTGTGCTTGACCTTGCGAAAATGTTGCACCTGCCACGACATCTATACCTCGGCTTGCCAAGGTGCTGCGACTGCCACGCAAAACTGAGCTTGCTCCCGTCCGCACCCGTTCCGAGCCCGTCCTGACCCCGTCCCGAACAGGCGCCACGGCAGAGGTACCCTTCGCACATCTTCGGCAGCAACTTCCTGCACCATGCCACGCTTTTTACGCATTCTCTATCTTTTCGCGCGCTCGGACAAGATGCTGAAATACGGCCCCTGCCATGAAATCTGCACTTCTAATATATTTCACGTATCTGTCTACACGTATCTATCTAATATATTTCAAGTCTCTTCCAATCATCGGCTATCCTTCAATTAGTTTCCGTACCACGGAAGTTCCTTCTAAACTTCCTTTGATCAAGTAAATCGAAGCTCTACATGACATATATTCGGGGACCTCTTTGTTTCTGCTTGTTACGCGAAGCACTTGTAGCTGGGCGTTGTTTTTTTGGGGTCGATGCAAAGGGCGCAAGGGCGCATCGGCAAGGTGGAACAGGATCAAGCGTTCGGAGTTCCTGGTGATGCGTCAGCTGGACCGGCGGTGGGAATCGGGTGCAGGGGCGCTATGAGATGGTTGGAGTGGAGACCGCATCAATGCAGAAGCGCAAATGTGTAATGCAGGCATGTGAACTTCCAGAGGAAAAGCAGGTGCGCCACCAGGGAAGGAGACAATGAGTGCAAGCGGGGGTAGCTGCAAGTCACCTTTCACTCGGGCTGGGGGTCGACCTGAGAAAGTTGCACCTTTGCTTGTATTCTGCGATGTCCATGTTTAGGTCTGAACGGCAAACACATATGTGCGGAAAGTCTCGATCAGCGCATCTATTTCATCCGCAATTGAAGGTTTCTTTGTTGCCACACCAGTCACCAACAAGCAGATTGAATCTTACCCTGGGTTGAGTACACTCATCGTCGTGTTGTTTCTGTGGGGGCGTGCGCGCCGGGCCGGGCAGCGCTCGTCCCACAAATGAGCTCTTGCACGTAGCATCATGTCGCACGGCCGTATGGACATGTGACGCTAGATGCAGCGTGCTTGCTTCGCAGAAGCTGTTGCTGCACTGCAAGGACCAAAGCTCTGAACATGTTTTTGGTTTTGCTTGACTGCTATTGAGTTGCATCTTTAGACTTTGCCTTTTTGGGAAATAAAGGGGTTTTCCACTAAACCCCCAAAAAGTTAAACTTTTTGCAGGGGGGTCAACAGCAACCAAGTTTTGCTTTTCAGACCAGGACAGCCGCCTTGTGGTGCCAACAGCTGTGCAGTCGCTGAGAAGCAAGAAGAGGTGAGAATTGGGCTACAGCCCCGTCTCCCTCCCCCCTTCTAGCAGTGCCTCCGGGCGGAGTTGGATCTGGAAGCTCAAAGAACACTCCTCTTAGCTTAGAAGAATAGCTTGCTGGGATTGCATTTGCAAATGGCCCCTGTCCAGTTCCACGTTTCTGGGCGGGTGACTATACTTAACCAATCTGGAATGCAGTTGCTTGATTAGTTTGAGGCCGCTGTTTGGCATCCAGTGCTGGGCAGCTCAAAGAGACGATGCGGAAACGCTTGCACAAGCCCATGCTTGTTGCAGGCTTCCCATATCTTCCCATAACATGGCAACCTCCTTAAGCACTTCCGCCAATCAGCAGGGCCATTGTCGGCCGCGCTTTCTGAGGTTCATTCAGGCTTTTTGCAGGGAGTTGCACAAGGGCGTCCTTGATGTGAGCCCGGCAAGGTTGCCGCAGCTTGCTTCCAGGTGTGACTGCGGCACCTGCCACGCGATCGGGGGCTGTTTTGCCGTCGGCCGGCTCCTATCGTGTCACGAGCTGCAATGTCCATGATACTTTCTGCAGCCAGCGCATGCCATTCATCATTTCTGGCTGTGGCTCAAATTTAGGCGGCCTGAATGCTTCAGGCGCAATTTGCAGGCGATGTTTCCCAAGCCTGCTCGACCCCAAGTCTTGCAAACCTTTGCCACCTTGGCGTTCTTGCGGAGATGGTTGCAGGCAAAGGGTCGCAGACATTGCCATGTTCTTTCGTTTGGTTTCCACGTTTCTTTCAGGAGTATCGCAGAACAGTTTCGCATTTTGTACATCCCCAGTTGGAAATGCTGATGCCCCGTTGCGTATTGAAGCTTCCCCTAAATGTAGCAAGGGACGTGGACAAGCTCCCGGCGAGTCACCTGTCAATGTGCCCCGCCAGGCCTGGCCTGGCAGGGGTCCCAGGTTCAGCTTCAGGTTTGAGGCGCGAATGGCATCTGCCTGTCCCATGTCTCGGCTTGAAGGGAAGCCCAGAAACCAACTGCAAAGAGGGGACCTTTGTTAGGAAGATGGAAAGGCATTCAAGTTGCAGAAGGCTGCTGTTCAGCGAGCTGTGATGCTGAAGCCTGCGGCTGGGTTCGCTCAGGCTGGGAGATGGTAAAGCTGCCGCCGCTGCTTGGCCCCACCATGAACAACAAGGACTTGGAGGAGACATACGAGGTGCATGTGGTCATAAGGACCTTCAACTTGGCGAAGCCCAAGAGGCTGGCGTTGCTCCTGATGCTGTTACCCTATTGGAGGTTTTTGCACTGTGAAGGCAGTGATTGGTGGCAAGGCTACGATGCCTCTAATTCGTGCCAGAGCGTTTGTGGCGAAAGTGCTGGTCATTCATGGAAGAACCTACACAGCCCATGCGTCTCCCAGGCCAAGAGGATCTTATACCATCCTGCTGCACAAGCATCTATTTCCTATCCTGAGGTATTCCGAGTGGAAAAATGAGACGCCAAGTCAAGCAGGCAATTCCCACGCACTTTTGCCCTCAACCCATGCTCCTGGCATAGGAGCAGCGCAAAAAGCGCGCCATGCCGCAGCGATCGTTGACCCGCCTGCAGGCAGGGTTATTCCCGGCCGGCTGGTCCGCTCACAATGCTTAGTGATTCATTGGGTGGTGAAAGGTTTTTTGTTTTGTTTTGTTGTGTATTTGCGGGGTGGTGTTTGGTTTTGTTGGGTTGTCTTCAAGAAAGACATGGTTTCAGACACCAGCCGGTTGTTGCAAGTGACAGGTGCTTGAAACTTGGAGTTAAAGAATTCGTCCTCGGCAGTGCCCACAATGCGGGAAGACCATGCAACATGATTTTGTCCAGGCACATTCGGGTGACATAGGGCCGCCGGACCGCGCCCAAGAACGGACCCGCCTACTTGGTTGGTCCATGCAGGCGCTGGCCCAATTCCTGGCTGACCTGGCGCTCGCAGAGCTCCCAGCGGTTTTGGGGTGCTGGGTGCTTGTGGGCATGAGGCTCCCGTTGGTTGTGAGCCATGGGCGGAGGCTTGTGGCCGCATGCCGTAGCATTCAGGTGCTGAGATGGCTTCTGACTACGTGACCTTTTGAGGTTTCCCAGGTTCCCAGTTATTGGCTGTTTTGCACGATTTGTCTCAGGAAGCATACGGCATGCGCCAGCCGGCACCAGTGAGGCAAGTCAG